CTAAAAATGTTCTCTATCAACATTATTAGAACTTTCGTCAATCATGAATAACGTTGTAAAGACATTATAAGAACGTGGTTCTAAGAATGTTTTCTAACAACACTAAGATAACTTTAATCAATCATAAATAACGTTTTTACCATGTTCCGAGAATCTGGTTCTAAAAATGTTCTCTAACAACGTTATGAGAACTTTCATCAATCATGAATAACGTTGTACAGACATTATAAGAACGTGGTTCTAAGAATGATTTCTAACAACACTAAGAGAACTTTAATCAATCATAAATAACGTTTTTACCATGTTCCGAGAATCTGGTTCTAAAAATGTTCTCTATCAACATTATTAGAACTTTCGTCAATCATGAATAACGTTGTAAAGACATTATAAGAACGTGGTTCTAAGAATGTTTTCTAACAACACTAAGAGATTTTTAATCAATCATAAATAACGTTGTTACCATGTTCCGAGAATGTGGTTCTAAAAATGTTCTCTATCAACATTATTAGAACTTTCGTCAATCATGAATAACGTTGTACAGACATTATAAGAACGTGGTTCTAAGAATGTTTTCTAACAACACTAAGAGAACTTTCATCAATCATAAATAACGTTGTTACCATGTTCCGAGAATCTTGTTCTAAAAATGTTCTCTAACAACGTTATGAGAACTTTCATCAATCATGAATAACGTTGTACAGACATTATAAGAACGTGGTTCTAAGAATGTTTTCTAACAACACTAAGAGAACTTTAATCAATCATAAATAACGTTGTTACCATGTTCCGAGAATGTGGTTCTAAAAATGTTCTCTATCAACATTATGAGAACTTTCATCAATCATGAATAACGTTGTAAATACATTATAAGAACGTGGTTCTAAGAATGTTTTCTAACAACACTAAGAGAACTTTCATCAATCATAAATAACGTTGTTACCATGTTCAGAGAATCTTGTTCTAAAAATGTTCTCTAACAACGTTATGAGAACTTTCATCAATCATGAATAACGTTGTAAAGACATTATAAGAACGTGGTTCTAAGAATGTTTTCTAACGACACTAAGATAACTTTAATCAATCATAAATAACGTTGTTACCATGTTCCGAGAATGTGGTTCTAAAATTGTTCTCTAACAACGTTATGAGAACTTTCATCAATCATGAATAATGTTGTAAAGACATTATAAGAATGTGGTTCTGAAAATGTTTTCCAGCAACATTGTGAGAACTTTCATCTATCACAGATAATGTTGTGAAAACGTTCCGAGTATAAGGTTCTATGAATGTTTTCAAACAACATAATGAGAACTTTCATCAGTCATGAATAACGTTGTTACGACGTTCCAATAATGTGGTTCAAAGAATGTTTTCTTACAAACATTGTTAGAACTTTCATCAACCATAAATAACATTGTAAAGACGTTACAAGAACATGGTTCTAGGAATGTTTTCTTTCAGCATTTTGAGAACTTTGATCAATCACAAAAACATTATATACACGTTCAAAGAACGTTGTTATAAAAACGTTTCCTATCACCGTTATGAGAACTTTCATCATGCAGAAATAATGTTGTTACAACGTTCTTATAACAATCTTCTAAGAACATTTTCTGTCAACGTTACAGCAACATTAATAACGTTCAAAGAACATTTTGAAAACATTACTTTAACAACGTTATGTACTAACATTAAAAAAACTTTTAAAGAATGTTAGCGAAAGTTATGGGAACGTTCCCTGTTAGCTGGGACTGTCTTCCACACCTGTTGAGTCTCACTGTGATGATGAAGAATGTAAGTTTTTTTTTTACAGTTTTTTGGAGTATGATTGCAGCCTTTTTATGAACTTTGTTTCAAGTTTTAAGTACACATACAATATGAATTTAATATTTTCATATCAGAAGAACGCTAGGTGTGGGTGTAGCAAAATTTCAACTTTGTCCAACACATCGGGCGGACGGCACCGCCGTGGTGGGGACTGCCCCGCTGCCGCCGGGCCCGGCGGGGAGTGAGAACTGCCTATCGCACTGCCTAAACACAGCATGACATCTTACGCCGTCTCTTTCTTGTTTACGCTGCAGCGCCTTCTATCCAGGCATCACGCAGCAGCAGCACATTTACTGAGCTCCAATCTCAGCATCTAGAACCAGGTGAGTAAGTTACTTGTTAGGCTATTTGTAATCAGCAGTAGAAACGGACTTTTTCAAATTAAACGGCTCATCACATATATCGATATGCAAAATTAATTAATTTGAATCCACACCAGACACTTGTTTTTGGCACAATCAGTGCAGCATTGATTTAGCATTGAGAATATTAAATAATCTGAACATACACATCTGAAATTGTCTCCTTAAGATGTTATTGTCAGTTAGGCTGTAAATTTGTAAAAAAAAAAAAAAAAACATTAGTTTTTGTGACCTAGTGAGTCATCTTCAAGGCATAAAGGTTCATGCCCTGAAGAAGGTCGTACCGAATCGCGTTTGCGTTTCCTTGTTTAATAAATGAAATCCTCAGAGTGCCTCAGATCACCGGATCTTCTTCCTCATATTCTACAATTTATTTGATGCTGAAGAGCACCTGAGAGTGAGACATAAGTTTTTTCACATATTCCTCATGGATGCACTCACTTCCACCTGTTTTTGATCATTTTATTCATGTTTTCATAGAACAGATAAAAAGAAGATCAATAAAATAAAAAATCCAGTAACATTAAAAATAATGAAAAGCATCGCTGCACATGAAGAAGAAGAAGAAGAAGAAAATATCATTTTTCTATAGCGCCTCTCAAGATAAAAATCACGAGGTTCTTCACAAAAACAAAAAATGTAAAAATATAAAAAAGCATTTAGAAAATGTTTAAAAATATATTTAAAATGAGCAAAAATAGGCAATTGTGTTTAAAAAATGTTAAGAAAGAGAGAGTGAACAGGAAAGAGGGAAATCAGCGGATCATGAGGAAGGTGGAATAGGTGGGGAGAGCAGAATAAAGAGAGAGTGGTGAAGAAGGTCATACAAAAGCCAGCTTGAACAAGTGAGTCTTCAGCTGCTTTTTAAAGGAGACCACTGAGTCCACTGATCTCAGGCTCAGGGGGAGAGAGTTCCAGAGTCTGGGGGCCACAGCATCAAATGATCTGTCACCTTTGGTCTTTAGCCTGGTGCTGCACAACCAGTAGGCTTTGATCACTGGACCTCAGGGACCTGCTGGGGGTGTAGGGACTAAGAAGATCACCAATGTAAGATGGTGCTTGTCCATGTAAGGCCCTATAGACCAGAACTAGGATCTTGAAATGAACCCTGACATAACTGAGGAATATTGAATGGGAAAGTGGCACTGTTCTTAATTCATGCATCTTTTTAACACCTTAATCTAACAGCAGAAACATCTCCCAGCCTTCATTATCGTCTACAGCAGGGTTGTCAAACTCATTTTAGCTCAGGGGCCACATTGAGGGAAATGTAGTCCCAAGTGGGCCGGACCGGTAAATTAAAAACAACTTCAGATTGTTTTCTTTGTTTTAATACAATCAATATAAAACAAGGCTGGAGCCTGAGGACAGTGTATCCAAAATAGTACAAGTATGACACCTGATGTGTACTTGAAAATTTGAAACAAATAAATAAATAAATAAATAAACATTCCTTAGTGATTCAAAGAGCTGACAGATCACATGGCTAGATCAGTTTTATGCAGCACTTAAAGTATATTTGACTCATTTTACTTTACACCTTTTAGCTTTCACCAGCACATCAATATCAGAAGTCACATCCTGAGTGGCAGCCAACTTCAGGATGTGATTCAAGTTCTTGTGTGAGCCTTGAGCGCAGCTTTGGTTTATTTATACTCATTACAGAGAAAACTTGCTCACAAAGATAAGTTTATTTTCACTCTACATTGTAAAGTATGAAAATAAAGTTTACACAACCATCTCGCGGGCCGGATTTAACCCACTTGCGGGCCGGATCCGGCCCGCGGGCCGCATGTTTGACACCCCTGGTCTACAGGAATGATTAATAATAATAATAATAATATATATATATATAATATAATATATAATATGATATAATATGATTTATATAATTTAATATAATATGTTATATTATATTATATTATATTATGCTAAAATAAAACATAATATAATATATTTAAATTAAATTAAATTAGATTTAAACAAAACACCTGTGTTCATTTTGTAAGACATGCAACGTGCTGGAGCCAGACTGCAGCGCCAGGTATGTAAGCTCAATTTTTCCCAAGTCCAACTGACCGGACCAGCAAACGTGATGTGTGATATTCTGGCCACAGGAGGTGATAGGTGCTGGTGGCATCTCATCAACCCTGTAATGGGTCATTTTAGCACATATTGGCTCAAGAAAAGGATTTAAAAATATGAAAAAGTTGCAAAGTACCCCTTTAATGGTGGACTGCTCTTCACAATATATATTTATAGCTATGCTATGTTAGAACAATGTTAAGATGCATAAAAAAATGTTTTAAGCTACTTTGTTTTCCAAATTTGCTACAGCATATTTAATGTGTCATTGTTCAACAGATATTATTTATGTTTGTGCATCAGTTTAAGCTAAATATAATAAAAACATCAAATCTGCTGAATGAATTCCAACAAGACCAAAATTAATTGCTGCATCACAGCTTTTATGCATAAAGTGACAATGCTGATGAAGTCTAAACATAAACGTGCACCTTTGGAATTTTTTACTTCAGCGTTCACTGATTTCAGCACAACTCTTCTTCAGATAATAAAGTTGTTTTGTTCTTACAGACCTCGGGGCGATCCTCAAGAATAAACATTCACAGTTTTAATCCTGCAGACCTGACCACAAACACAAGCCTTGAATCTGGGTAGCTATCTGAGTTAGTGTTTTTAAATAGTATGAGTTAGTCTGAGTTACAGCTACAGTCAGCAGCTGTCTTATTTACCTTATGAGGTAATGTGTGTGTGTGTGTGTGTACACAGGGATGTTTATAGTTTACATACCCATCATGAAGATGACCTTTGGTTTACTCTGTTCGGTGCAGCAACCTGCCAGGAGGAAAACCGTTGAAAACCTGCATTAGAGTCAACACACACTTTGTGTCTTTGTGTCTCTATGAGGACACAATAAGCATTTTGGCTTCTGAAACCTTTTTATTTTTGTCAGATTTAAAGGTTTTCCTTTAGATTTGTCTAAGCTCTAGTTTTGATGAAATTATTTTCATGAGGCGGTATATTTTCTTAATTTCACCACCAGTCAATCAGACCAGAATGTAATTGGGATCGCCGTGGAAACCATTAATGATGAATTTAAAGCCAGTTAAACTGTTTTAACTGTGTTTTGCATTTAGCCAGTGAATGTAAGAAAGCATGAACTCTCGAGTGTAATTTAAACTAGAGAAAACAGTTGGCGTGAGACACACATCGGTCTAACAACAAGGAATTAGCTGATATTAACCAGTCAATCACACACACACACACACACACACACACACACACACACACACACACACACACACACACACACACACACACACACACACACACACACACACACACACACACACACACACACACACACACACACACACGGGTCTGCAGGCAGAAGTTCATTTATGCACCTGGTCAATAACATTGAAGCTCCTTGACATCAGTGGCATTTAAAAAGAACAGTTTGTGTTTGTAATGAAACACTGAATGAAGTGTGTGTGTGTGTGTGTGTGTGTGTGTGTGTGTGTGTGTGTGTGTGTGTGTGTGCCTGCGTCACAGTGCATGCTATTTGTGATAACTCACTTTCTGTGGTTCCTTCAGCGTTCCCAATCTCCTCCTCGTCTTCTTCAAGCTGGAAAAACAACAATGAAGGAATAAATGTATCAATCCCTCTTTTTTTCTTGCTTTATTAACCCTCTGAGACTTTAAACTGAAATATTAACATGCATCCAAACAAAACAATCCCCCATAGGGTGAAATAAGCTTATTGATAAGGTCTTTGATCAGAATGGTTCTTTTATCCCAAACAACTCACTTTAAATAAAAAGGTCTGAAGATACAGAATCAGGATGACTTGAGGGCTCACATGACACCCGGTCGTCTCCTTGTATGAGTGATGACTCTTTTAATTCAGTTAACAAACAGAAATTCAGATTGAATCATCAAAGTCTTAGGATCAGTTTTGTTCCAGTGAGTGTGTTCGAAATCGTGCAAATTGAGGAACACATTTCCCAAAAAGAAGCAACTACGTCTTCGATCCAAACCATTCACCTCCTGCATGTTTTCCTCCGCTTCCCACCGAAAAGCACCTGAATCTGTGAAAGACTGACTGCAAATTTGATAAAATAACATTTTGGCTGGAATGAAGGTTCTGCTGTATGATTGTCTTGCAGCTCTGGGTTTTCAGTTGAGAAAACAACCAGCACTGAGACGAGATGAGGGATTATTGAGGATTTTCACTCTTGGAGCGCTTGATAGGGCCTTTATCCATTTCTGTACTGCACCTGTCCAATTCCTTCATGGGGTTTTTAGTTGCTTGCAGCTCAAGGCTACCAAGGCGTCAGATTCAGATAACAAGAATTTGTTTGGGTCAGGCTGAGATCATTTTTCTCTCTGCCTTCAGTCTTTAAACTGATCATTTCCAGTCTTTCAGTGAAGCCAATTTTGGGTTTTTAAACCTGTCCATTCCGTCCGGTGACTCTCTCCGAGATGACATCCATTTTGCGCACTAATACCGGTATCGCAGCTAGAACATTATCCAGCTTACGATTCACCTCGAGTAACGTCCCAGTCTGAGAAGTCTCCACACGGGCGGTGCTTTCCGTGGGTGCGGGTCGCCCTCCAATTGCTCCCGTCTTCCCAAATTTCCAGAAAACCAGATATCCTCCTACTCCAATCAGGAGAAATCCAGTGATCATCAGGCCGAATATCCACACGTCTTCAATATCCTCAATGGACAGCTGGCAGAGGCATATGATCTTCCACTCCTTCCAGGAATCCAACATACACCCCACCGGGTGTGTCCCCTGCTCCGTTCTCATTGTTGAAAAAATCTAATCAATCGCATTGAATGACCAATTTATCAAATCCATGGTTAGTAAAAAAATAGGGTTTTTCAGAAGAAATGCAGAGAAGTGCTCTGTGGGCAGACAGGACAAAGAGCCTTGAGAAAAAAAGATAAGGGAGCGAAAGAGGGAAGCGTCTGTACTCCTTAAGTACCTGAAGAAGAAGGGTCAGGTAGGTTTTGATGCTCTCTGATTTGCAGGAAATATGTTTAAAAATTGTTGCAAATATCTATAGATCGTGGCATCCCATCCTGGTCCAGGGGTAACATCCAGGCCGTTCAGATGTCAAGTGGGGTGGGCCGCAATCATAACTCCCCATAAATAACAATTAAAGGTTGAATATGGAGCACAAACACCAAAGTGACATCTAGTGTGTGGAGGTTGTAGTTGCAACACTAGAACAAGGTTGGGATGTCAGGTTTGCTGGCGATACGTGAAGTGACCAGCCAGCACCATGCCCTGTGACAAATCGTACAGGTTAAGTACTAATTTCTACTAAGTTTATTTTAGAACCGTATTTAATATTAGAACATCTAGTATTATGCAGCTGCTCGACTTGCAGAGTCCGCTGTTTTCCACAGTGTCAGCCTCGCTGTGCTGAGAAGACTGGCAACCCTCAATGGTGCCCTCTATTGGCTGGTAGATGTAAACATAACCCAGTGTCGTGCCCGTCAAAATAAATATTTCATTATTTTTAGATTAAAATATAGCTTTTAAGAGTAGCTTTTAAACCGATATACCGATATTGTCTACTCTTAATTTCCGATACTGATATGAACCAACACTGTTGTATAATGTGTCCCCTTCTAATAAGAAAATAAAATTAAAACATTTTAGATTACTAACATCACATATCTCCTATCATGCATACTACATAAATAGTTTTTGTGCAAAATGACAAATACTTAATGTTAAAGTGCCATATTTATTTTGTTTCCAACAGCAGCTGAATCTCATTCTCCCTGAGCGTGACGCTGAGATGTGTTTATTAGTTACTAATGTATTTTTCTTTTTCTGTATATTGCAGCTCCGAAGTGGCTGAAGAGTTTGTTGTATGTGTATGGTATATACAAGTTGTGCAATTCAAAGACTGAAAACTGATACCATTATGTTTTCCAATATAAAATTTTAATGCAGATGTTGGTCGTTGTTTATGGTAGACCGATAATATCGGTCACTCCTAATAACAAAACATCTGTTTTTTTGTGTTTTCGTACATTTGAAGTTTTCGTATTTAATGAAATATATTTTTGCAAAAGCTCTTCAGATTTCCTAAAGATCAACTTCACTGAAAAACATTTTTTAATGATTATTTCCGATTATTATCGGTCACTCTGAGTTTGTCATGCAGGCTGAACATGAAAATAGTCTCCTACCCATATTTCCTGCATTAGCTTCTGATAGAAAATATACGAGTGCTTGCATAAATACACAAAGGTAAATGTGACTGACAGGATCACCTCCCCAAGCCCTCTTTAGACTGAAGTTGTAGCCTAGCTCCACTCTGTCATATTTGCTGTGACTCACTGTGCGCCTCTAGTGGAGGACTTGAGGAAGATAATTTCATTAAGAATTTTGAGTTCATATTTTTTGACATTTTTTACTTTCAAAATTCATCAAACGGGTCACATTTAAACCCCCCTAGCGGTTCAGGTTTGGCCCGCGGGCCATATGTCACTCCAAAAGGTCTGCTTAAACACCCCTGATTTTAATCATCAGGTGATTAATGGGCTAGACAAGTAATCCAACCATTGAACCAGGTGTGTTCGAACAGAGAAACACCTAAAACAGGTGGATGGTGGCTCTCGAGGACCAAGTAGAACTGAACTGCAGTGCTCTAAAGTCGGCACTATTTTTTCAGATTAATCCAGAAATTTTCCATAAACCACCATAAAACTTGACCTAAACAGTCTGCTGACAGACGCCCAAATAAAAATCTGCTCCCTTGACTTTTCCATCCACCGCTGTCACCTGACCTCACGCTGCTCTGATTGTGCAGGTTGTTAATTGGATATTTGTCTGCTTGCAGTGAGGTCAGTGAGAGGTCTCAGAGTAGCTGAGGCTGAGGAACCGTGGAGAATTGGGAGAGCAACCTAAAAACTGTGTGCTAACGCTGCCAGTGTTGAGGAGTGCAGGGTGTCGGAAACAAGCCAGCTCGGCATGTTGGTGCACCAACTGGTCTGATGAGTCACACACTCACACACACACACACACACACACACACACACACACACACACACACACACACACACACACACACACACACACACACACACACACACACACACACACACACACACAGCTTTCCATGCGATGGAGGTATATCGAAGCAAACACACAGAAAAAAGTCAGTCAATTCCTGCTAAAGTGACGTTTTATTCAAACAGAATTTTAAAAAGGTATAAAACTCTAAAACTCAGTACTTTCAGAGGTAAAACGTCACAGGTAGATTACTTTCACATGGTCAGACGTTGATGGAAAACGTGTGGTTGTAAATCCAGGTCAGAAATGGGCAGTATGTCAGGTGTGAAAGTGCTTTTATTTACACCAGGAGGAAATCGGCAAGGAATGATGGAGCTGCAGATTTGATCCTCTTGGATCAGCAGGCTTACAGAAGCCGTCTCCACCTCATGTCACAGATCACAAATACGAGTTGACGAGGCGACACAGCATCTTTGTTCCACTTCACAGGAAATGCTGCGTTACTGCTCGCCACAGGCCAGGCTGCTCAGGGATGCCACAGTCTCCGTCTGCCCTGGATGTGATCTCCATTCAGACTCTGACTCTGATTACTGACTCAGTTTGCAAACTTGGAGGCTTCAACAAACCAGGGTTTGAACATGTCTGGATAATCAACAGATGACATCATCAGCCTCAGTGAAAGGTCAGCTGTTTCTGGTATAGGACAATGAGAAGGCTCTAGGGTAGGCATGTCCAAAATGCGGCTCGGGGACCATCTGTGGCCCTCAGAGCGATTCTGTGCGGCCACCACTTGCACTATAATGGGTTTAGATTCTGCAGCAGGCTGTTGGTGTGGATCTATTTGTCTATTTTAGGCTTTATTTGAGCAGAGCAATAAAAAACAAAATCGTAAAATATTCATTTTTAAAAAATGAGACAAATGTAAAATCCACCTTTTACATCATTTTGTGCTCCATGTGGGTCTCTAGTGCTGCTATAAATACTTCAAATGTGAAAGCCAAACCCGTTTCAAAAAGTCGTTTTTTGGCTTAAAATTAAAATGAAACCATCTCTCACATGCGAGAGAGCTGCTGCTGAAGGAGCGGTGGCTTTACTCTGAGCCCTTCCCAGATATCAGAGCTTCTCAGCCTATAGCAGCCTGAGTGGGGAATGGGTGAACGTGGCTCATTCTGGAAGGTACTGAAAAAGTAGTGAAAAAGCTTCGTGTGAGGGATTTAGTACAAAGAACCTCATGGATGTGTTTTGTATTGATCACAGAACTATTATAACTAAGAAAAAAAGTCATATATCCCATTTTAAATAAAGAAATCTAATTTTGTGGCCTGCAAGGTGTTATAACTCAAAGATTTTGGTCTCGTCTTGAAAAGTTTGGACACCTCTGCTCACATCATAATGATCTTTTTAGTTTTCTCAGGAAAACTTAGTAATATCACGTATTTCTCACCACATTCAGCCACTATAAGAATGAAAAACATTAGTTATCATTTGAATTACAGTTTTCTAGGCTTTTTGTAGTCTGTGCATTTCAAGGACCTCTTTGAATCATAGCTCACACTTACAGGACATTTGAAACGTTCTCACCAAGAGATGTGTTCAGCAGCTGGTCAAAAGTAGTTCCCGTCATGCTCAGTGTTTCTCAATGGCACCATTTTCTGTAGGTTTTCAGTCTGAATGGAACTGCTCACTTTCAGACTTTCAATCTGAATCCAGATCTGGATGAACGTGCAAGAATCCTTGGGCTAGATTCAGAATATTGGTGAACTTAAGCTCTCAGATGTTCTCTGAACATCTTCAGGACATTTTGATGTTTTAGAAGACAAACAACCTTTAAAGATTTTTCTATTTTTGTCTGTTACTGAACAAAAGATGACTTCAATCAGCTGAAACACTCAGTCCAAGTGTGAGCAGATTTAGATTGTTATAATAAACGTAAAAATAGCAAAAGTTGGGAAAGGTTGTTAGAGTAAAAAGGTTTTAGATTTATGGCTTAAAGTTTCAAGTAAACAAACTTATTAACACACTCTGAACTCAATAGAATAAATAAATGTACAAAAGTGTGGTGAATAAAACAAGCCGGCCTGACCTGGTATAGGAAAACAGAAGAAAAGACAGAGTCAACCTTATGTGAGCAGAATAAAACATTTGCTCTGAAATAAAAAGGAAAGTTGCTTCAGACAGCTGGAGGGGTGGGGGTGTGTGTGTGAGGTGAGACAGGGGTGGAGGTTATTACTTCACCCACAGCAGACTGTGTGGAGGAACAGAGCTGATGTGAGACGCCGCCAAGTGTTACACAACAAAACTCGCTATCTCGGGACATTTGCAGCTCTGAATCATCTGGCCTTTGATAGGAGTTCAGTTTGCCACCTCTGGAAAGGTAATTTGCATTTGTCATTTATGTGGCCCTGCAAGCCGACGGGAAGAGATTTTGAAGGAGCAGGATGAGGAAAATTAAGAGTTGATCATATTGGTGATTATTTAATGCAATTAAACAGCATATTTCTAATTATTTTAATAAAACAGCAAATTTTCTGATTTCTAATGGAAAAAAAACTTATTTTACACGTTTAAAGTTAAATTTTCTCCAAGCCTGCAGCTTATCCCAACATTTGAAAGGTGAAATTGTAAATGCATTTCTACAACCTCATCACTGACCCTGATGGCATCTTACCTCCTCCTTTTTGCAGGCTGCTTCTGACAGGCTGCTTGTTTCTCCCAGCAGACTGAGATCCAGCTCACTTGGACCTGAGGACAGGAAAATCCAACTTTCAGAACATAAAACATTTAGTTTTTGATATAATACCTTGAAACTGCATGTACAATGTAACTATGTTCTGCTCTATAAGAGAAAGAAAGTAGAAACATTAGATTTAAGACCATTTATTTCCTTACTAATGACTAAAGACATCATCTAAAGTGCAGATTTTAAAGGAAATTATTTAAATATCATCACCACAAACAACTTTTGAGGTTTTTAAAGGTTGCGTGTTCAAAGCTTCCCCATAAAATGTTCCTATTTGTATTTCTTGCCAGCGTTTGTTTACAGCGTGAATGCGCCATGGAAGAATTCATCAGCAGATCTCCCACCTGCCTGCCTCCTCACAGGTCCTGCAGCGGTTAAACGTCACCTGGTGCAGGAGCATCATTATCCTAATTGGCCTCTGCGCTTGGGCAGGATAAACTTGTGAGAATAAAAAGGGTGGTGAGGCTTGAAGGGGATAAATTGTTTGTTTTTGCAGCGTTACCTTTGATCAGAGGGTGTACATAAAACCCTTACATTGTTTTGATACCTTCAGATCCTTACGGTGCAACTAGGGAGGGAGCATATTTATTACAGGAAAACAAACATTTTTTAAGTAATTTGAAGAAGAAAAATGAAAAAGTGTCACATTTCAGAGGTATGAGTTAGACATGTGAGTTTTAAATGACTGGATGGATAAACTAAACTCAGAACATTAGAGAATAACACGAGTTTAAAGTTTTACTTGGTTGTAAAAAGAACTCATGAGTAATTTAAATGGATTCCTGTGTCAGAAACAGCAGAACGCTGCACTGGTGCAAAATAATTCAAACGAATATCTGCCCTTTCTGTGAAAACGAGCTGTAAATTGTACTTCCTCTTGGAATACTTTTCTCTGTGAACTGGCACCTCCTGATCAGAAATTCATGTTAGATTAGGCAGCTTCGGATGTTCAGGCAACGATTCAGATTTTTGTATTATCATTATTCAAAGATGCATTATGTTAAAGAGCTCAGCAAAACGCCAGAGAGACTCGTCCTGGTAGAGTCAGCACCCGACATCTTTGTTTTTTCTGGGTCTAGTGGTGGAGGAGCTCGTCAGCAGAACTCCTGCTGCTGCCATAATCACAGAGAACGCTGCAAGTGGAGCGCAACAGCTTCCTCTTCCTCACTGAGCTGATTGCAGAAGGCTGAATTCTCCTCTGATTCTTTTTCTAGTTTTGATTTGATGTACATTGGATTTTTCTGCAGCTATTCTGGTGATTTAATCAGTGGAAGCCAGCAGCAAGTTTGTGTTGCAAAATTACGTATATTTTCCTACTGCAAGCTTTTTTTTAGATGCATGATGGAAATCATTAAATGTATAAAATCATATTTTTGTTTAGAACCTTTAAAAATACAACCAAATAGATCCTTAATCTCTCTGGACCGTAAAACTAGTTGAAAACACAAAATAACGGGAAATAACTCATTATTTTCATTGGAAACACTAAACTGGTATGAATAAACCTAAAATTTCTTGAGTTTTTTTGTATTGAAATATTTCATATAATCCCCAATTTCACCATAATTTAACCCAATTAATTTTATTCTGAGGCAGATTAGCTGCTCCCAAAATTGTTTACATATTTTTCCTCACTTTTTGACCCCACAACGTGGAAAACTATTTTTGTTTAGACAAGAAATGTTTTACATTTTTCTAAAATTCCAACAAAATCCCATGGAAGCACCAGGGATCATTGAGGAAATTTAGAGCTTTCAGGAATGTTTTGAGCCATTTTGGAAACTCACTTGTGAATGTTGCTTGCACTTTGTGAGAGACTGGGTTAAAATAGCTCCACATGGGCTACAAAATACAAGCTAATATTAAAGTATAGCAAAATGGTTTTTAGTACAGAAATAAACCTGGCATTAACCCTTCAAAGGTTGAAATACAAAACAATCTAGTTTTTAAAGCTGAAACATTTTGCGGTTAAATGTGTATTATGTAGAAATGAAGTTAAAAAAAAGGCGTTACAGGAGACATATACATGTTTATTGATGTGTTTTTGGTGGGTTTATTTGTTGTAAACGGAGATCAATGTCAGGTCAGGTGATCATGGGTGGGGATTTAGCATCATCTCCAGCACCCGCTCAGATAATATGGGAAAAGGAGGAGTGAGTGAGCGGGTTGCCGCATATTTTTGTTGACCCTCAGTTGATCGCTGTGATAATTTTATTGTTTGATTTTGAGCACGTTGTGTTTCAAGTTAATTGGAGTTACTTTAATAAAGTTTTTGGAAACGCAAGTTTGGAATCGCAGCTGATGTTTGTAAAGAGCGCGTCACGCCGGCCTGACTCAGCCTCTCAAGCGGCTTTTAGTTTGCCTCTGAAGTCGTGGAAATAGGCATCCTACAAAATGGAGTAAAACTGACAGCTGGATCTGAAATATGTTTCAGTATAACCGTCCTTGCAAAATGACTGAAACATTACTCTTTTGGGATTTTCTCACTGTTAAATTCTCACCATGTTCTTACATAGTGCACCTTTAATTCTATAATAATAATAATACAAAAATAAAATAGGTCCTTGTCACCTGTAGGCCGTCCACCAGGGGGCAGTATAGGATTGGATAAGGCAGGTTTCTGATGAAGGAACTAATCCTGATACTCCATCTGGATATTTTAAGACCAGAAGTGGTTTAAAAATCACATATTTTAGTTTCTTGTTGCAAAATATTTTTACAGTTTAAACTTGCATTCTAAGAATAATTAACCAACCTAAATAAAAACAGTTATGTTCATCTTGACACAAATCTGTAAGTAAATTTATGAACTACTGAAATCTTAAAAAAAGAAGCAAAGAGAGTAATTATGTTTCATTTATTTCTCTCTTTTTAAGAATCTAGTTTTGAGATTAAATACATCTTCATTACCTGTGTTTTAAAGTCAATTCCCAAAACCGTCTGTTGGTTTGTGCAGAAGCGCATCAGGCTGCTGTCAGGGTTTGTCAAAGCCTGCTTCAACAGCTCGATGTACAGATTTAGCAGAGGAGCAGACGTGTGGGCAATTTGTGGGTCAGTTTGAATTTCAAATGAATCCTCTCAAGCAGGAAAATGGTAAATTATTTATCCACCATCACGGACCTAACCTCTACCAAACTGCTTTGTGTTTGTTTACAACCTACAAATACAATTTATACCGAGCAGCAGGTTCCTTTTTGGTACAACAGCCCTTGAATCCAAAACAGATTTCTGGCTTGGACAAGTTTGTGGTGCCATATGTCTCCTTCGCCTCCTAACATGAGCCTCAGACTCCTCCTGAGTCAATCAGTTGTGCAGCAACTGATCACTAAATTACAAAAAACTGTCCAAGGAGATATATACTGAAGCACTTTCACTGTAATTTAGTATCTAGTGAGGTTATAGCATCAGTAAACGTGTCGACACTAGATGTTCGCAGAGTTTTCTAAGTGAAAAGCACTTCAGAAAAACCCTTTAGTTTCCTTTTTCATCAACAGTTTTTCACTTGCCATCAAGGTCTTCAATAAATGCATCATATTCTAAACTCGGCAAAGGGTTTTCAGATGGCTAAATGTTGTCGGGTGTTTCAGTCTTGTAGTTTTGAATAATTCACCTGTAACTGGAGTGAAGATGTTTGTTTTTTCCTCCGCTGGAGGAGAGGTTTCCCTTAGGTTTTATGGTGTGGTATTTACTGATAATATAAGTTGACTCACTGAAGGCATCAAATCTATGAAAGAACACATGTGGAGTTATGTACTTAACCAAAAAAGGTGAAATAACTGAAAACGTGTTTTATATTCTATTTTCTTCAAAGAAAGCTACCCTTTGTTCTGATTACTGCTTTGCACACTCTTGGTATTCTCTTGATGAGCTTTAAGAGGCAGTCCTTCAAGACTGTTGGAAAACCATTTCAGGTGACTACCTCTTGAAGTTCATCAAGAGAATATCTCCAATACTGAGCATATATATATGCAATTTTCACAGCTGTCCCACAGATGTGAAAATTGCGTAATCACTGACACACATCAGCAATGGTGTCCATCAGGGGCATGTCCTCACCCCCACTTCTATGCCTATGCAGTGATCCCTTGTTTATGGTGGGAGTTACACTCTAAAAATAACCCACAAAAAGAGAAATGTTTACATTTATTGTAGATGTTTTAAGGCTGTAAAACCCCTCACTACACACTTTATACAATTTTCTCAGACAGTCATTAATATTTTCACTCTTTTCTCTCTTAACACTCTCAATGCCCTAATCATGATCCAGAACTCAATGTGTTGTATAAAAAAACCTGCTAAAGGTAACAATTGTTTTCAGATGTGTTTCTTAGTTTTCCCTTAACTAGTAATTAACTAAAGCAGGGATTCCCAAAGTGTGGTGCGCGCACCCCTGGGGGTGCGCGAGCTGCCGCTAGGGGGTGCGCGAGGTGAAAAGTGTAATGGCTGCGGAGCTCAGAGAAGTCTGTCATATGTCACCATTAGCGTAGAAACTCATTTGTGGGTGGGCCAAAGAAAAAGTAAGTGGGCACAATAAATGTAATTGAAAACAAGTATATTTTTGCGCGTGTCCTCCACATGTGCCCTAGCTTCATATCAATGCGCCGAGCTTCAGCACTCTGGCCTGCGCACGCCGATATGTTCCGTATTTGATCATTTTTAACGGTGTTGGAGAAATCTGAAGGTGGTGAGTCATTCTGGCAGATTGTAATTAACACCTGTCTCATGCAGGTGTTCTGACATTGTAAACCTCACACACAGAACATTGTGGATGTAACAAAATAACAAGAAATGATTCCCATTCAGGCTATTAACAGCGCGCTGACGATCTGAAGTTCAGAGTGCGTCTGTCAGAGGTCAGACGCGTTCCGGCTGAACCACGGCTCACGGGTGCACAAGTGAGCTCATCTGGGCTGGGCAGAAGTAATTTTACAACATTGGTTTAAATAGCGCGAGACGCGGTGACTTGAGCGGCTGTGCCGCGCGCGCACACACACAGATTCAA